AAAAAGCGGGCCGCTCGAGATAATATTCACGTATGAATAATGTAAACCCTAGTATCACCGTAGAAAGTCTAGGCAGAATTGTCCTGGATGCCGATCTAAATCCTAAGTAGGTCTTAGCTTGAGGTTAACCCTTTCAGTGCCGCCCGAAATCGCTGGCACTTGTCGCGAAACGATATATCGTTGATCGGCACTAATAGGGTTAACCAAGAAGGGTCATCGCGGATGGAGAACCAAGTCCTAGCTAGGGCCTAGCTCGTATAGGGTTAGGATTTCTTGATAGGGAAGTCCTAGCCAGGGCCCTGACACGATCCGGGGTATCCTCTTCAGTTTCCCAGGCAGGACCGGATCGTCCCGGGGGTGCCAGTCCCAAGGCCGCGGCCGAAGGTCGTCAGCCTCGGGGGGTCGTCCACGGGGAGCGTTTAACCCAGGTCGTGAACTCGGTCGGCGAGTGAATGGGCCAGTGGAGCACGACCCTTGGGCGGGTCACCGGGGTCAGGGGGTCAGGGCGGGAGACGAGGCCGAGTGGCGTGCCGCGGCACGCCATGGGGTAAGATAAGGATGGTAATAAGGGGCGATAACGGGGGTGCGAACGGGAAGCCGGGGAGCGAGCGTAAATCGAGAGAGGTCGGGGCAAAAGAGAGAGAAACCGGTGCCACGGGTCAGGGGAGAGACAAGGACGGGGGGCGGAAGCGCGCCGAGGATCCGTCGAGGGACCGGCCTTCCGGGAGAGCGAGGGAGAGAGCGATAGGGCTCGGCCGGCGAGGCGAGAGAGAAGGCGATAGGGCTCGGCCGGCGGGACAAGAGAGAGGGCGATAGGGCTCGGCCGGCGGCGCGAAAGAGAGGGCGATACGGCTCGGTCTGCGGGGCGAGAGAGAGGGCGGGGGCCCGATGGCCCGAGCGAGAGCGAGAGGGCGGACGGCGACGCCGCCACCGTCGCCGTGGGTCGTCGAGCACCCGACAGAGAGGGAGAGGGAGAGGGAGAGAGACGGGACGAGAATTCAGATATCACCCGCCTGACCCCGGGCACGCTCGTCGCTCGTGTCTCTCTTCTTCCTCGTCTCCGCGCGGCTTTACTACGGCCGCCGCCTCCGCCTCCACCTCCGCCTCCACCTCCGCCGCTCGCCTTGGCTCCCGGCGAAAACCACACCGGCGAAAACCGCCGGCGTAAACCCGAGCCACGACCAAGGCCTGCCGCACAGCCGGTGGCTGACTTCCTGCTCTCTCCCGCGTTCCCTCTCGCTCGCTCCCGAGCGCTACTACGGACGCCGGCCTGACCCCGGGAACGCGATCCATGAATGGAACCCACGTGCCGCGGGAAACCCACGTAGAGGATACGCGCGACAAGGACGCGCCGATTATCCCGAGTACCCCGGAACGAGGATGTCGCTTTGGAATTGGAGCGCTGCGACTGCCGTTTTTCGAATTTGGATTGGGGCGGGATTGGATTTAGTAGTAGACCCACGTGGGGGGTGTGTACGACGTGGACACGTCGATTATCCTGACGCTGCGCTCGGCTACATCGGAACAGGGATGTCGTTTTAGGACTGGAGCACTGCTCCTGGGATTTTTCGAATTTGGATTGTTATCGGGGTCTGATTTAGTAGTGGACCCACGTGGGGGATATGTACGACGTGGACACGTCGTTTATCCCGACGCTGCGCCCCAGTACATCGAAATGCGCTTCCTGGATATAAACCTTACTATTGTGACTTTTTGTGTATTTATTGTTAGACGAGGTTTGATATCGTAGTAAAGGTTTCGACCGTAAAGCAATCATGAAGACAACTGATTAGGAAAGCCTGGTTAGTATCTAAGCCCTAGCTAGGGGTGCCGCGCTAGGGTTTTACCCTAGCCAGGACATTTTTATCTGGGTTCTTTTCTCAACATCTAGCTAGGGGGTACTTAAAATTGAATCGTATCTCATCGTAGTTTTGTGGAATTCTTTCCATATTGGACCAATTTGGGATGTCCTGGTTAGACCCTGCGGAGAAAAATGTAACATTCCAATGCAGGCCCTACATTGATAGGGTGGTATCCTAACTAGGTGCTAACTAACGCAGATGCAGATTTTGTGCGCGTGTTATCCATCAGGATTGTGTCCATTCTCCCCTACTTATCGCAAAGATCATCGCGATGTTGTACGGTAACGAGGGCCGTTTCAATTACACGAATCATGACGATGACGGTGATAAAGTCCCACCGTTTGACGACTTCACTTCAAGTTGCCGTGTGGCATCGGCATATCGTATTTCGGTCCAAATCCCGGCTTGTTCGACGTCACCGGTCGACCGAATCACTCAACTGACGGTACAATGGTTCCGGTAGATGTTCTGATTCCGAAGATAGGATTTCCCAGTACACGCCGTTGGCAACGCGATACTGCAGCCGAATCCCAGGTTGTTCGCGGAGTAACATCTGGCCGAATCGGCCCGGCGGTGTTGCGGTCTTTGATATCCCATCCAAATCCCATTTTGTCCAGGGAAGATGGGCGCGGGTTTGTCGAATCGGTCAACTAGAAGGACCGTCCATATTCGAAGACAAGTGTTCCCCCATTTTTTGGAAGCCCACGTCTCATATCCTACGATGTAACGTTGTTCTAGGACCATCACCGCTGAGGGTTGATATTGCTACCAATATATCTCTCTTGATAATGTTTTGATGGATGCTGCGGTTTTTAATATCCCATAGAAATCCCAGCTCGTCCACGGATAATCGGCACAGAAGAATCGTCGTCCATGTTCCAAGACACGCGTACTCCATTCTTTGGAACCCCACGTCTCGTACAAATCCCATGTTCTGAAGCGGTTCCTGGGCCACCATGATCGAGTGATCGGATTGCCTACCAATATACCACTCTTGATGATGTTTTGGTGAATGTTCCATGTAAAAGCGAAACTCCGAGCGCCCCTTTGACGGCGCGACGTGCCTTTCGTGCCGAATTATTGATCCCGCCTTGTCGAGGGCTGGGAACCCACGTAATTACGTTTCGCCATTGACTAACGCCTCGTAATTTCCTACAGACGAGGCGGTGCACCTCGTGATATCCGAGATTAACGATGCCGATTCGTGATCGTTTCCCTTCGATGACGAACTAAGTCATCAACGCGAACGAATGTCTGGACCAAGATTGATCTAAGTTCGATTGAAACCCGGATCGGAAGTCCTGGGATCAAAAGGAATTGCTCCTCCGTTTGGTGATAACAGTAGCGGGTAAACGACGATGGTTGCAGCCCGCTATCCGGTCCATCGACCAAGGAAACCACCCATGAAATCCTTAAAGCGGTCGCCTTTTCTCAAGACGTTGCGTTTTCCGCAGACGAACTATCGAAATCCTCATGAAGAGGTGCTTCCAAGCTAACGCGTAGTTTTTTAGATGATGGTGATTAGACGGTCCGTCGCGTTGATGCAGAACTGAGTGTCTTCTTCATCGTCGATCTTGGTTTAAGACAAGGTTTAAGACAAGAACTTGGTTTAAAACACAGAAGTCCTGGGATGAAAAAGGATTGTTTCTCCGTTTGGTGTCAACAATAGCTAGTAAACGCTGATGGTTGCAGCCCTCTATCCGGTCAATCGACCAAGGAAACCATCCATGAAATCCTTGAAGCGGTCGCCTTTTCTCAAGACGTTGAGTTTTCCGCAGACAAACTATCGAAATCCTCATGAAGAGGTGCTTCCAAGCTAACGCGTAGTTTTTTAGATGATGGTGATCAGACGTTCCGTCGCGTTGATGCAGAACTGAGTGTCTTCTTCATCGTCGATCTTGGTTTAAGTCAAACGATGGAGGACCGAAACCTGGACCAGAAGTCCTGGCATAAGGATGGTCAGCACCTGGACATTTTAAACCCTCATCAGGAGGATAACCGGAATCCTCACGAGGAAGTGGCCAGGGACCCTATTCTCCACATCGTACGATCACCTTTCGCATGGGAAATTCAGTTTCGTATACGACATTCAAATGTTTACAAATGAAGTGACTTCACAACAATGCAACATTTTCACGCGAATCTATTCATAAGCTGGGTTCACATCTGAGCAAGATCGCGTTCGAGGCAAGGCGAACATACGAGGGGGACAATCAATCGAAATGCGACAAATTGCCTCGGATCGTTCGACACATCGTCCAAAGCAGTTCAAGATGTCCGTTTATTGCCTCAAACGATTTGGTTTGTTGCCGCGAAGACCCCTAAATATGCAGAATTTGTTCTGCCTCGTCTCATTTCGTAGCATTCGCGTTGAAATGTGTAGCCGGCTTATGCGAAAAAGAGAATCCGCATGAACTCGAGAATCGGGTCCCGGAAGGTGGCGCGTTGTTTTGACGCGGAGCGGCGGCCTCTTGGCGGGCGCGGCAGGCGTGCGCTTTCCGCTGTAGCGGCCCGCGAGGAAAGGCGGCCGCGCCGACCAATCAGCGCGCGGGTCCAACGGAAACGCGAGCCTCCAGGTAGTGGTTGGCCCGCGGCGGTGGGGGTAACCATACCGCGCACTGCACCCACGGCTACTATCGCAGCAGCACGCACCGCGCGCGCCGTCCGCGGACCGACCGGCGTCGACCTAACCTCTCTCCGTCTCGCGCTCTCCCTCTCCCGCCGTGGCACGCGCGCCGTCTCGCTCGGACCCCCTCGGTGGCATCCCGCGCGTCGCGCGCCACCGAATCGCCCCCAACCTGACCCGAGTGCACCCGCGTGCGTCGACCGAGTGGCCGGTTAGGCTAGGGTTAAGTCAGCGGTTAGATCGGCGGTTAACTCGGCGGTTAACGAGCGATTAGGCCGACCGGAAACGCGCGTCTCGTCCCGTGGTCGGAAATTGTAGGGCCGAGCCCACGTGCGCGGGGCCGCAGGCCGGGAAAAACGCGTCCGGGCGCCGCGAGGTCGCGGAAACGCACCCGTCGCATGCGGCGGAAGGAACCCTCCGGATCGCGCAGGTGGCGGCAGCGCGGGGACGCGGAACCGCGATTGACAGTCGCGCGCGGATCGGCGAGGCGCGAAGAGCCGTCTCGCGAGTGACTCGGAGCCCCGACGCGTCGCCGACGTCGCCCGACCGCCGAGAGTCCCCACCTCGAGACTTTGCGGCCGGTTTCCCGCGGAACCGGGCCCGCCCTCGGGGCCGGCGACGGTGCGGAGGATTCCTCGCGAGTGAACCTTTCCAGCTGTGCGGCGAAACTCGGCCGATCTCGCGATCCTCCCGAGGGAGAGTGCCAGGAAGCGTCGCGCCGGCCGCCATGACAGGGCCGCCGACCCCGCCGGCCGCCTAGGTCGTCCGCTGGTCGCCTGGCCTAGGTCAGGGACCCGGGCCCCGATCGCGATCGGCCCTCTCGCCCGCGACTGCGCGCTCGCGTCCAGGGTGCGCGCCCATCACCCGGGGGCAGACCCTGGGTTGGTCCCCGTACCATGAGCGACGGCATCGTCGGCGCAATTGCCATCAGCCTGTTCGGTACTTGTCCTCGCTAGCAGACGCCTTGACTATTTACTCACAGAGCCCTCATTCCAGGCGGCGAAAAGAGGAGGCGCGACAGCATGGACGCCGGCTACTCGATGCTCACCAGTGACCTCGACGTCTGCAGGATGTTCGATCAGTACTCCTATAAGGTTAGTCCCCTTTGCTTGGAGCGTTTAGGACCACGAGTGTCCCCGGATCGCCACGAACGACGGATTTGGACACGTCGAAGAGTAAACTCGGGTCTCGACGGATTTCCAGGGATCAGTTTTGAACGTTATCCGGGGGCCGATTGGTAACCTCTGATCCACGTGCTCCTTGGATATCGGTTTTTTTTCCTAAACGATATACCACTTTGATTTTTGAGAAATCCTCTAATTGTATGATTTAATTACCCGAGTCAGAGCACATTTAGGTCGGAACCAATTGGTGGTTTTGGATATAGTCCGACTAGCGATTGTCTTAAAACTGGGCCGATTGATTAGGCTCTCTCCGATCCATGTGCTTTTCCGTCGTTCGTTTCCCTTGCCTCGATTTTCACCTAATCATCTAATTTCACGGTTTAATTGAGAGAGTCAGGACGAAAGTTGGTCGGAACAAATTGGTGATTTTGAATGTAGTCCGACTGGCGATTGTCTAAAAACTGGACCGATCGATTAGGCTCTCTTCATCCGTGTGCTTTCAAATCGTCCGTTTCCCTTGTCTCGATTTTTAATCATTTAATTGCATAATTTAATCAGCGACGAATTAGAACAAATTTCAGCCCGAACCAATCGAAGAGTTTGTACATAGTCCAGGGGTGATTGAAAACTGGAAGCGATCGATAAGGCTCCCTCCTCCCACGTGCTTTTCGGTCATATCGAAACTGCACCTCAGTCTTTGCCCAATAGTTAATAATCCCTAATTCCATAATTTAATAAGTCCCGACTTAACCCAGTTGCTAGATGAAGTCTTTTACGAAGACCCGCGATGGGTATATCGATCCGGAACTAATTAGCACGGTCGATGATCGATCATCTTCGATCCAAGTCGGCTTTTATCGGCATTTATTTCTTTCTCTATTCTCTTATCACCCGGGGAATGAGTGACGAACCCTATCCTCCGATAACACGACTAAACGTTCGTAGGTCGGAATGATTCTCGAACGCTTCTCTCGGAACTCCTCGAGCAAGATCACGGGACGCCTCTGATAACTCTTATCACCGCCTCTACCTTATCACGGCGATTTCCAGTTTCTGGTCCTGCGGTCATTGCGGAATTCCTCGCGGAATTTCCGCAGACCCGATTACTCTCTCGCCGATTGTCGGTCGCGATAGTAACTTTCGCGGCCCGTAGGGAAAATAAACCCAGGGCGGACGTTGCGACTTCAAAGGGACCCGACTAAATGAAATTCCCCGGAAGCTCGTTTCGGCTCCTTTTTCCCCATTCCCCCCGTTTTTATCCTTTTTTCTCGCTACTCGCGATAGGCCCCGACTTTTGGCAGGATTTTTCCCAGACACGGTGTCGTTTGTTGTCATCGGAGTGCGGAATCATCAACGTTAAACGGATTCCGCGTGTCCGGCGTCGTTTAATTGCGCGCCCTATCCCGCCCCTAGGGAAAACTCCCTAGGGTTTTATCGGCACCCACGCCTCCGCACCCCTAGAAAGGGAACCGATGTTTGCCCTCCGCGTATTCAGATTTCGTATTCGTATTCGTATTCATATTCATGGTCACATGGGGACGCGCATAATGTCGGAAACGCCCTAATGCCGAGGATTCTTCGCGGCCGGGATTGCCCTCCAATTTGAATTTGAATCGAGGCCTAATTGGTAATTGAGCCTCGACTAAACCTCTAGGACGAAACTTCCGACGTAGGAGTCGTAGAAGAGTACGGTAAGGGTGCCTCGATAACGCTTCGTGCAGAAATATCAAGTTACTGGATGTTAAACTTGGCGTGAAGTGTTTTGTATTTCTTTTTTTTTAATTATTATTTTTTTAATTATTATTTCGATTGCGCGGGTACTAAACAATACTTTGTAACCCATTTTTTGGGTTAATACCCTTCTGGATACCCTGCATTTCATGTTTTCTTATCGGAGGGTAGCAAAGTAAATTGCGTATTCTTTTTTTCTCTATGCGTGATAAGGTTATGGACGATTGTCAGAGCTATGACGATGAAGGTAACAAAATTAAATGAAATTTGGGATCGTTAATAAACTTTATGGCGTGATCGTTTCAACGATGAGGTACTAAGTAATGTTTTATAATAATGTTTTTCGGGTTAATATACATCTGGATACCCTGTATTTGATGTTCTCTTATCAGAGGGTAGGAATATAAATTGTGTCTTTTTTCTTTTCCTTTTCCCACGTGTGATAAGGCAACATACGATTGTTAGAGCTATGACGACAAAGATAACAGACTTAAGTGATATTTGCGCTCGTTAATAAACCATCTGATGTGTTAATTTCAATTGTACAGACATTACTTGCAAGCAATACTTGATAGTTCAATTTCTTTTCTGTACATGTTCGAAAGGGTTTATGACAAGGGTAGTGATATAAATTGTGCATTGTTTCATCATGCGTGATAAGTCACTGTACAAGTGTCACGCTATGTCAGAAGCTTCGGAATTGATTGGCATTTTTATTCGTCAATAAGATTTCGACACGAGGAACAGTACATGTCTATGTTCCTTGCAAGATCATATGGAATGTGTCTGTAAAAATTTGATAAAAATCGATCCGATGGATTTCGAGATCACCGCACACGTACAGCGTGCAATCATTCGTTTTAATATATTAGTATAGATCTAGATCATAAATCGCGATGATCCGGGTGACCGTATCTGCGTAAAAAACCTCGGCGGGGTCGTTGCAAAAATGATTATTCCTTTCATTTCTCTCATTGAGTTATCTTGCACGATCTTTATCGGCCTCGCTTCTGGACGCTTACCTCGGCGTTCCTTTTGCACTTCACGTGACTTATTTCCGCGGAAATCGCGCAGTAGCTTACGAGGCAGCAATTTGCTTGCGACATGCGAATCGCGTGACGCAATGCGATGTAACGCGAGACTTTAAAGCGAGAATGTGTCTCAGAGAGCTGGCTGACTTTTTGGCGACGTGGATGTAGCAGATCGTTGCCGCTGAATTTTTTTTTAAAGCGCGACTTCATATTTTATAGTCTAATTTCACATGATAAGAAGGTAAACCGTTTCGGAAAGCAAAACGCTTATTTTACGGTTAATTATTATCTACCCTCATCTTTGAATTCACCTCATCCCAATTCATTTTTGACGGCTAATTAATATCTATCCTTATATTTTTATGCCCTTATATTAACGAATAATAAAAAATAATTAATACCGATTCTCCTCAACTTAGACGTTTCACTATCAACGAATAATCAAGAATAATTAATGCCGATTCTCCTTAACTTAGAAGTTTCACCATGAACGAATAATCAAGAATAATTAATACCGCTTCTCCTTAACTTGGAAGCTTCCCTTTCGACCAATAATCGAGAATAATTAATAACGATTCTCATTAACATAGGAGTTCGGCATGCAGAGCACGTAGCGGTCACGCGTCGATATTTTCCTATACTTAAGTCGCCCTTTCCGGCGTGAAGTTCACCGACAAAGTGTTTTTAAAAGTATTAGCGGAGGGCCGGGTCAGGCGGGGAAACGCGGAATCGCCGATTCTCGTCCCGCCGATGATAAAACGACGCCGACAACGGCGGCGATGGCTGCCGAAGCAGTCGTACGGCGATCGTTTATCACCGCGCAGGGCGGAAAAGCGTTTTCGCTCCGCGCGCACCTTGTAGGAAAAAGGGAAGAGGGGTAGAGCAAAGGGGGAGGGGGGGGCGTTATTATTTATGATTGATAGTGGCGTTGAACTCCATTAACAGCGCCGGAACGCACGGTTCGATTAATTCGGATCCCGGGAAGCCGGCGCCGGACTGGGCGGAAAGTTTCCGCAAGGAGCGCCGCGACGCGGAATCGCCGGATCGCCTTATCAGGGCGCCACGGTGTTTGCCGAGCCAGGATTTCCACTCGTTATTTGGGCTGGTTATCGTCTAGGGGAGTTATCGACGTCCAAATGTGGAGTCCTTGGGTCAAAGGAGAGCCGAACGGGGGGAGGGATAGGAGTCGGTAAGATAAGATGAATATCGAGATTACGCCGAGAGAAAGGGGAGAAAGGGTCCCCATCGATATCGTTCTACATCCCGATAACGCGACTTTCCTCCTGCCCCCGTCACTAATCCGTGTAAAAGACGTGGTACCAGACCGGGAGGGCCCTAGATAGGACACGCCACCCTACCGACATAGGGCTGCCATCGAAATGTCACACCTCTTGCATGCACGGTTTACACCTAGGACATCCCAACTCAGCCGAACAATAGGAGACCAAATTGTCTCGACGCGTAATTAAATTTCAAGTAGCCTTAGCCGGGCACTGGAAAGCTTAGATAAAATCGTCTTGGGTGCTAAACGACATCGTAACCGTGTCTTAACCCTTTTAGTGCCGGCCGAAGTCGTTAGCACACGTGAAACGACGGTATATCGTTGTCCGACGCTAAAAGGATTAAATTTGGAGTAATAAGGTAACCTAACCTAATCAAGACTGGCCCTACCTAGGGTTTAAACCCTAGCGCGGATGCCCTAGCTAGGGCTAACATGCTATACACGATTTCCCAAGCAGCCCCCCCCCCCACCAAAAAGTAAAGACGACCTTGAGGCTCGAGGGTGAATTTTGGAAAATGTCCTTTTACCAAGGCGTCGGGGGGGGNCCTCCCCCCTTCCCGTTTATTTCTACTCTTTCCCGGCTCTCTCTCGTACTTTTTATTCGAGTCTCCCGTTGAAACAAAATGAAAGGCGAGCCCGGTAGGTACCCATAAAAGGATGAATAAACGTAGATTGAAAGGGCATAAAAAATATATTGAAGCGGAGAAATTAAAGGTGGATTTGAAATGAAAATAAATTTGTTCTGGCGGGGCTGTCGGGGGAGTCGGGGAGGGGGGAGTCGATGTCAAGTGCGCGTTTACTTACGTACGTGCAATATCCCGGGAACATATTGCACTCGACGATTCCTTGGCTCTGGTTCATCGCGCTCTCGGGGATGGGGTTTCTTTTAGTGATGCTTATTTTTAAAACACTTTAAGGTCATTTCT